TCCCTGCTCCGTGCATTTCACCAGCCAGGCAGCGAGCCGTCTCCTCTGCACAGCCCGAGACAGAGTCCCGCACTGGAGACCCCAATCCCAGGGCTGGGCAGAGGGACATGTCTGGGAAATTCCTCCTACCTGCGTGTGCTGCTTCCCAGAGATCCAGTGCCATCTGGAAGGCCTGGGCCACAGTCAGAGTCACAGCCTGGGCCTGTGTGAAAGGAAGAGAGGGAATGTCTGCTTCCATCTGCGCCCTCAAGCCAGGACAACCCCGCTGCCACGAGATCCGAGAGCCCCCAGGCCCCCCTCACTGCCCTTCTCTGCAGAGCACGTGCATGGAAGGGCAGAGCTCCGTGGTGTGTCTGTCCACCCGCGTGGACCTGCCATCCCCAGAGGAGATCCCAGAGGAGCTGGGGCAGAACAGCCTCCTCTCGCTCCCACCTGCCTCTGCAGCGTGCAAGCACAGACGCTCCCGGCTCCATTTCCAGCTGCCATGCACAGAGGTGAGGACCTTCTCTCTCTGAAGGGGGAGAAGGCAGGCCCTTGCTCCCACCCTTACCTCCTGCAGCCAAGGGCAGAAGGGAAGTGCTTACAATCTTCTTCTTGGGCGAGAGGAACGCATGGCACTCCAGCGCCCCGCTCTCCTGGCTCTGGGCGACGTAAGCAAAGACTTTGTTCTGCAGCTTGTCCGTCGTGCAGTAGGAGATCCTGCAGGCAGAGAGGAGCTGCTCAGGGTCACAGGGACCCCAGCACAGGTCTGCTGCTGTGCTCCCAGCAGTGCTGACAGCTGCACCCCCCGGTGTTCCCTCCTGCGCTGCCCCAGCGCGCTGCTCCCTCCTCTGACGCCCAGTTCAACCCAGTGTATGAACTGGAGCACGGAGACAGAAGGAGCACAGGGGGTGTGTGACCGCCTCCAAGGGCACAGTAGGAAGCCAGGCAGCAGGACAGTCTGCCTTGGCACATCAGCTCTGGTGCTGACACCCCGATGTTGCACCACAGAGATGTCCTGCCTCCACTTCCCATTTAGCCCCCAGCCTGCAGCCATGCTCCCCTCACACCCAGAGACACCCAACCCGCCAAAGCACAGCTGGCAGCAGTAAAAAACCCCACATCTGCTCTCGGGGGAACTGCCTTTAGCCAGCCCAAGCTCACAGCAGCCCATGGCACCCTCATGCTATTGCAGCCAAAGTGTGGTCCTGTGTCAGCGGGAGAGACTGCTGGGGAGATCCTGGCTGCTCAGGATCCCATCGGTCCCAGCCGGCTGCTGGGGAACACCCGGACCCCCACATGTGCCCACCTGTAGATGGAGATGTTCTCAACCATCTCCTTCGTGTCTGCGTCCTGCAGCGAGATGCCCCTTGGAGACACTGTCAGAATCACCTTCTGGAACTTGCGAGCTCCCACCCGTGCCTGGCAGTGGGGAGACACCAGACACCTCTGCAAAGCTGGCAAGGGTCTTCAACCCCCTCGCTGGCAGGAGTCCCCAGCCCCTGTACGGAGTGCCACCCGCTGGGACCCTTGCTGCAAAGGCTGCGGGGATGGGGAAGCAGAGCCTGGAGATCAGGCGTGCCCTGCACAGAACACCCTGGAATCTGTTCCACTACTGCCACACACACAGGAGGGGACAGACCCCCTCTCCCTAGGTACTGCACCCCCTCTCCACACCGTGACAGGCACAGTTCTGCTCCCAGCCATGTTCCCAGTGCGGGAGCAGGCAGTGGTGGCTGTCCTGCAGGAGGACAGCTTCCCCCACC